TGGAGATAGTCTTAGTGCTGAGTCTGAAAACATATTTTAAATCAGATCTTAGTGGGGTAAAAGAGAACAAAAATGTCAAATATGAACTCATGACCCTGCCTATCACTTATATATGAGGTTGATCCACAGATCTTTACTTTAGGACTCCATCTTTCTCTGTACTCTAGGTTCTTATATATCCATCTGCCTACAGAACACCTTTACTTGGCTGTCCTATGACAAACACAACACTGACAAACCAACACTCATCTCCTCTGCCTTCCAACCAACAACTGCTCCTTAATGGTACCAGTGAGAAACAAATTGCCCATCCAATGGCTTAAGTGGAAGGGAAAGTCCCATTGATGACACCTCCGCTACCCCCTATCCCCTGATTCTGTCTCCTTTGACTTCCCAAGCACTCTTGACTCTGGCCAATTGCTGACCATTCCAAGGCCCACTTCTGTAGGCAAAATTTTCACTAACTACAATGGACCCATAAGAAATCTTCCTGTCTTCTGTCTACCAATATTCCTACCCATCTTTCTTCCATTCTGTCATCAGAGAAGACCCTTTCTAAACTGAACAGGCCATTCTGCTGCATGAGAACTTCCTATGGCTCCCAATTCTCAATAGGTAAAGATGAAACTCTTTAGTATTGAAAGGTTTCATCCCCATCATGCTCTTCTTCTTTGCCCACTTTTAAAGACCCAGATTAATGTTACTTCCTTAGTGAAATGGCCTCCAAAGAATTAAACTCAGCCACAATTAAAATACCACAATGGTATTTTGTACACTTCTCCTATTACAGTAATTATATTAAAACATGTTTTTAAAATGTCTTTAAAATGCTCTGTGCCTCTCCAGTAGAATTTATATGCTGAGGAATATATTTTAGTCAGCCTATCTCCCCATAGCCTAACAGTGTCTGCAAACAGGAGGTGCTGAATAAATGTTTGCTGAGTGAATAAATGAAGAAATCAATTTTACATGGCATCACCTAAGACAATGCAATGCTAGATGGATAATTTTATTAAAAATCTAGTATATGCAAGATGCTATGTGAGGCTCTACAGGGGTAGGAAACGGATAGATAGCATTCCCCACTCACAAAAGCTATTATAATCTCTATAAGAAACAGTATAGGTTATCATAGAAGAAATACTATCAGTTATAATACTTTTAATCTAAAGATATTAATGGATTGAATTACCTTAGTAGATATACTAATATTGAACTATCTTTGCATTCTTCAGTTAAGTATAATTTGGTCAGAAAGTATTTTAAAAATATGTACTGGATAGAGTTTGTAAAGTTTACTTAGGATTTTTGCAACTATGTCCATAATTGAAACTAGTCTGTAGGATTCATTCTGTGCATGCTCTTTTTCTTGTTTTAGTAGCTCCTTCCACCCCCTCCTTTAAAGAAATTATTCTTTTTTTCTCAGGAACTATTTGTTTTTATATGTTAGCTAAAACTCACTGGTTAAATCATTTAAGTCTGATCTTATTTTTGTAAGTAAATATTAAAAATACTATTAAAAATTTAATTTCTTCATATAGTTATATTTAAATTTTCCTCTTTCACCTTGAACCAGTGTTAACAATTTTACATTTTTAAAAAAATGGTTAGTATTGTTCACAACATTCTTGTGATTTAAAAAATCTCTGAATAACAATACTTACATCCCTCTTTGCATTCTTAATATTATTTACTTAGGAATTCTTTCTTTCTTGATTAATTTTGTAAATGTTTTATCCATTTTATGAATATTTTCAAAGCACCAGCTTTTGGTTTAATATGTTCTCTCTTGAGTTTTTTTTTTGGGGGGGGGGGTCTTTCTTTTCATTAATTTCTGCTCATTTAAAAAATCTTCATTTCTGAGAGAGGTATATTTAAATCTCCCACTCTGTGAATGTGTCCAGACATTTTCAGTGACTTGTTTTATGAATTAAGCTTATCAACTTTACATCTAGAGACTTTTCTTTTGAGGAAAAATTGCAACATGTTGTCTGTATTGAAAGTTTTTTTGGTAACCTTCTGGGAACCAAAAAAGCTTTAGTCAATAATGTCTAATCTTTAATGGTTTTTTGTTTTGTTTCAGATTTTAAGAAATCCTTTCATTAGGAGCTGGGCTAAAGCTTAGTTCTAGATGAATCTATATAATTAGATTTAAAAGTTATATCTGGATTCTGTCATTTATTGCTTTATATATTTTGAGACAATTTTGCTAGCATATACAGTTTCAAAATTCTTTTACTACCCTTCTAAATTGCTCCTTTTATCATTACAGAATTACCCTATTATCCCTATTCATGTCATTTTTGCTTTAAGGTCTAGCTTCTCTGATGTTACCACTACAGCAGCTTTTTTTTTTTTTTTTTTGGATTAAGATTTGTCTACAATATATTTTTCCATTCCTTTTCTTTGTTTTCACAGCCATTTTATATTTTGGGTGTGAATCTTGTAAAAATGACGCAGCTGGATTTTATTTTAAATTCTACGCAGATTATCTGTTTTCATTTTCTCAAAGAGATTCCATCTATTTACATATAATGAGATTAATATGTTGACTTATTTTTATCTTACTATTTTATGATTTTCTATTCTTTAAATAGTTATACTTAAAATTGCAGGACACGCTCTTATCAAAATCTAAAGTTAATCAGCATGTCTATTATTCTCTAGCACAATACAAATTCTTAAACCATTTTAAATCTATTAGCTCATCTGGTTTTAAACCACCCAAATTTGGTCACTGTTGTAACAGTCATTTTAAGAAGCTTATTTAAATTTATTCACATGCATTATTTTGCTTAGTAGTGCCTCTGACTTCCTGTCCTTGCTGCTGCTGATCAATTTCCTTCCTACTGAGCTATTGTTTGTTAGTTATCCTTTGGTAGATACCTTCGTTGGAATCTGAGGGTAGCAAATTCTCTCATCTTTGTATGAAAATGTCTATTTCATTTTTATTCTTATAAAATAATTAATGAATATAGGATTGAGACTGACAATAATTTTCCCTTAGTTCTCAAGTTTTAATTGCATAGTTACTAATGAAAAGTTTGTTGTTGGTTTAGTTGTCATTATTTTGTACAAATCTCTCTTTTGCCTCAAGTGGTTTCAAGAGTTCATCTTTGGTGTTCCGCATGTTCATCATAAGCTGTCTTGGAGTGTGTTTAGTTTAGTTATTCCTCCTGCTTGACTTGGTGGATTTTCCTCAAGACTCATGTCTTTCCTCAATTCAGGGACAGGCTCATCACATTCTGATGAAACACGACTTGCTTCCTGTGTGTGTTTTAAAATTTTATGAGTTTTCATTGTGGAATTTCTATTAGACCCATTCTGTTCTTTTAATTTTTCTTCTCTGATTTTTCTATTATCTCTTATGTTCTCAGAGGTCCTAATTCTTGTTTCTCTTGTCTACTGATGCTTGTGTACAATGGCTTTTTGCACTGTGTGGCTTGTAATTTTGATTTGGGGCTCATCTTTAATATTTTTATTACTTTTTCTTCCATGAGGGTATCTCATGTTATCTGGGTTATAGAAATATTCCTACAAAACTATTTTGAGTTGGCTTAGGCCTGGGCCCATGGGAGTTTCACTGATGTGGGACCAGTTTTGAGGTCAATATCTTGACTGGGAATTCCATTCCTACGCTGGTATTAAAAATTTGGACACAGGCCCAGACTATTCCCAACATCCACACATGAGACTAACTGGGGTTTCAATGTCTTCATTTTTTATGAAATCTTTTTTCAATCCAAGACACCTGGCAAACAATTCTTCCTCCCAGCCCCCATCCCTGGATTGGAAGAGTTCTTTTTGTCTCTTTTTCACAGAGGAAAGCAGCTCTCCTGGGGATCTGGCTTTTGTGGGACTCTCAGTTGCAGGCGGTTACTTCTCTTTTCCCAAACCCCAGCACCAGGCCCTCTTGCTGGGTCTTGAATAGCCCTTTGGGTCTTTGAATAGCCCTTCGGTGAGCCCCAACTCACCAGCCAGGGCTCAGGAACAACATCCCCTCTTTGTTTCTGCCTCTTGGGGATTTGCTGACTTTCTTTTGAGCTTGACCAGGCATTAGCAAAAATTCTTAAATGTTTATATTTTATCCAGGGTTTCCACGTGTTTTCTTTGGGCTGGGAGAGCTATAGCAGCTCATTCCACCAAGTTCCTGGAAGGCTGCAGGTATCAGCTTGTAAGTGCCAAGTGTCAAACAAGTGATAAAGAAAAGTGTTGGCATCACGCAGAGAAGGGAGGAATCACTGCAGACAGTAATGGCTATTTGACAAGCTTCAATGATAAGGGATAAGGGTAAAGCCTGCCTCTAGCTCATCCTTTTTTCAAATAAATACCCACAGCTCTTTAAAACAAGTAACCTCCCTCCTTCCCAGAGGGCAGTGACTCTGCCCTATTCTCTCTGAAACCCCATATTCACATGTGGGACAGATCACAGCGAGTACACAGTAAACATCTGTTAAAGCAACAAATAAAGTGAGCATTTTGTCCAGGACACAGCTAAAAGTTCAAATACCAGGAACACTGCCTGAGAGGTGATACATGTCATGTTACAGTAACACCCACGGTATAGAATCGTATCCACATTGTGGATACATTCAGAATAGGTTAAGCAGAATCAGTTTTCTTTTAAAGTTCTTTAAGGTGCCTCAGAACTTAATGTAGCCAAGTTCAGTCCAGGCATGGCTGCCTTCCAAGCCATCTCTAACTGGCTAGGTTTTCCAAAAAGGATTTGCTCAAATGAGCATCCGTAGTCCTTGGAAGGTGGTTTCAAGGTCAGCCCTGCCATAAAACCATTCCCTCAAGGGCTGTCTGCGCACATACCTGGCCAAGGCTGGTGTTTTGGAGTTACAATGGAATGCCTACCACTAAGGGACACACCAGCACTTCTTGGGGCCTAAGCTAAGAATCTGGGCATGTGATTTTGCTCCGAATAAAATGGCTACAAAGTTTAAGCACAGATCCAATGGTGTAAGATTATGGTGATCCCAACGTGCCAGAATTACCGTGTAATTTCGAGCGAGGGAGACATCAGTACCATCTTGCAGATAGTGGGTTTCCGTGAAACTGCTGGCAATGAGACCTCTGTGGAAAAATAAAAACACCATAGAAAGATGAGTGTACAATCGCATTGATACATTGTTGTGAATGTCTTGGCTACAGGGTAGCAAGATTGTGACCTCCTTTTTTTTTTTTTTTTTTTTTTTTTAAAAACAGATAATCCAAGGAGGCTCCCATTAGGGCCTTCCCAGTTTAGGTTCTCCAGGGAGAATTCAGAGGAGACTCAGACAACAGAGTCAGATAATGCATCCTTGGAACAATAGCCCACACACTCAATGTGCAACCCTCCCTCTCTTCCTTCCTCCCACTTCATTCCTTCATGCACACACCTGGGTGCACACATTTGCAAAGGTACACATATGTGCACACACATACACTCTTCCATGAATAGTACAGGCAGATATCTAATTTGGGAAAACCTCCCGCCTGGAAGTCACAGGCTCCGTCAACTGGAATCAATGGTTGAGCCTCCCACCGGGAAAATCATTCTGATCCACTGCAGTGCCCCTGCTGGCTCCCCCGCAGGTGAGAGAACCGGCTGACAATATTGAAATGTCACAGAAGAGATTAGAACAGCAATGAAATGTTAAAAGCAGCCATGTATGTATGAGGTGAGGAAAAATGATTCTGCACACCCTGAAATATTGAATTTCTAAGATAAATTGAAAGGAGGAGGAAATCACCTGTTTATTCTAACTATTAATAAAACTGTATGCAGTCTACCAGAACTTCATTAAAGATTGCAAAGCATGGGTTACTTAGGTTTTAAATTATTTTCCAATGTCTTACATAACACGCACTATTTTATCCCGCTCAACACAACCACAGGAAGTATTTCCTGTGTAACTACCGCTGCCAGGTGCTAGCTGCTGGGATACAAAGACAAGTAGGAACAGCCCCGCTCTTGATGACACCACGAGCTGGTAGGGTGATGGGTGACACAGAATCCAGTGTGAAGGGAGTGATCACAGAATAGAAACAGAGTCCTTCCGAGGCAGGAGAACAGGGTCTGGAGGCAGGGAACATGAGGTCGATTCATGCTGACTTTCTAGAACTAAGTCAAATGGAAACACTTCAGCTATGACAGGAAATATCCTCTCCATTTACATAGGGAGTCCAGCGATTAAATGATTTTGTAACTTTACCTCATCCCCTTCATTTACATAGGGTGTACACCGAGTAACCAATGGAAACCTCTAGACGGTATTTAAACCCCAGAAAATTCTGTAACGGGGCTCTTGAGCACCTATGCTTGGGCCCCCTCACACCCTGTGGAGTGTAATTTCATTTTCAATAAATCTCTGCTTTTGTTTGCTTCATTCTTTCCTTGTTTTGTTTGTGCATTTTGTCCAATTCTTTGTTCAAAACACCAAGAACTTGGACATCTTCCAGCAGTAACACTTCTGGGTGCATGGATGAGCTATGGGTGGAGCCTCCTGCAAGGCAAGGCTTTGCAGAGGGAGCCGACAACTACCCGGCCCTAACGATGGAGCGGGAGTCGGCCGGGCCCAGGAGAGGGTGGAAGGAGAGGGGAAATCCAGGCAGATAATGTCAAGGTCAGGATCTGAAAGGCCTGGAGTCTGGGGAGCTGCGCTGGTGGAAGACACAGAAAGGCTCTAAACAGAACCTGGGTTTTCTGTGTCTGGACAACAGGGAGTCAAGAGTTGCTTTAAATACTGAACTTTGGGGAAGGTGAAGGTGCTGCCTGCCCTCTCCTGTCTTCAGAGAACACTCTTCGCACCGTTTGGTTCTATGTGGGGGTGGGGGGGTGGTTCCTCCACACCTGATCCGGAGATGAACACGTGACCCAAGCTCAGCCCATCACAATCTTCCCTACAGCACGTTGAGCTGGGATGTTCGGGGAGGAGGTCTTTCTTTGTTCTCAAGGCTCTGAGGATGTGGCCACCACCTCCACCCTGGTCCCTTACTTCAGGAGAATGCTGGTCAGAGAGAACAAAGCTGTCACCCTCAGGCAGGGACAAAAGGCAGGAAGAGGGAGATGGATCTGCTGCCCCGGGGCCTGCTCCTCCTCTCCTCCTCCTCCTAAGTCCCTCTCTTCTGCCTCTGCTGGCTGGAGCTGGGTTTTGCAACCAGAGTCCTGATCAGTATGGCAGGGAAGGAAAAGAAATGGGAATGATGCAAATGTCAGAGATGAGAAGCACTTTCCTTACACAGTCAGAGTTCCTTAGACCCCCTCCCAGTCAAGTTCAAAACTGAGAGGCAGCTCCTTGTTTTACATGGATTGCAACATATTGAGGATATGCCTGGCTTAAATCAGTTAGACCCTGATGGCAGGTCTCTGCTGCAGTCTACTCAACAGCGAGTGTTTGAGAGAGTATGCGAAAAACATAAAACACAGACGGGCCTTCACACTCACTGGCAAAGGCACGTGGGCCTCCGAGTGCTGCCCCTCACTCTCCTCAGCAGTGCACATGTCGTGCCAGAGAAAGTTGCTTTACTTGGCAGCGTTGGGCTCTCAAACCCCTGTCTTCTAAGCTCACCTCCTCTGAGCTGCCAGAGGGGCTGCCTGGGCAGGCTCATTCACAGGGCACCCCAGCCCTGTCACACAGTCAGGAGCAAAGGAGAGGAAGAGGGGAGGGAGAGCAGGCAAAGCAGTGGGAAGGTGACAGGGCCTTGACGAGAGGAGTGTGAAGAAGGGGTGGTCCTTGGTCACAGGTAGAGAGCTCCAGGAGGGTGGAGGAGTCTGGCGACCTTGCCAATGGAGCTGCAGCAGGTGAGCCCAGGTCAAGGGGACAGGCGAGGTGAACCAATCTTCCACAGCACAGTTCCAAAGGGAAGCAGAGAGGCAGGATGTGAAATCCAGAGATGGGACTTGAGGGGAATAACTGGAGGGATGGAGCTGAAAGGGGACATGGGCGAAGCTGCAGAGGAACAGGCAGAAGGATGCAGAGCACAGAGGGATACACACAACATGGGACAATGTGCAGAGCACGGGGAAATACACACAGCACGGGAGGAGGCACAGAGCATGAGGGAAGGCACAGAGCACGGGGGAGGCACAGAGCACGGGGGAGGCACAGAGCATGGGGGAGGCACAGAGCATGGGGGAGGCACAGAGCATAGAGGGGGATGCACAGTGCACAGGGGGAGGCACAGAGCATGGAGGGGGATGCACAGAGCACAGGGGGAGGCACAGAGCATGGAGCGGGGATACACAGAGCATGGAGCATGGGGAGGCACAGAGCATGGAGGGAGAATGCATAGAGCACAGGGGGAGGGATGCACAGAGCATGGGGAATGTAGCCAGGACAGGAGGGGGATGCACAGAGCATGGGGGAAGCACAGAGCATGGAGGGGATGCACAGAGCACAGGGGAGGCACAGAGCACAGTGGGGAGGCACAGAGCACAGGGGGAGGACAGAGCACGGAGGGGGATGCACAGAGCACAGGGGGAGGATGTACAGAGCACAGGGGAGGCACAGAGCATGGGGAGGCACAGAGCATGGGGGAGACAGAGCATGGGGGAGGCACAGAGCATGAAGGGGGCATGCACAGAGCATGGGGGGAGGCACAGAGCATGGAGGGGGGATGCACAGAGCACTGGAGGATGCACACAGAGACAGGGGAGGTGCCACAGAGCATGGGGGAGGCACAGAGCATGGGGGAGGCACAGAACATGGAGGGGGATGCACAGAGCACTGGAGGATGCACACAGCATGGAGGGGGGATGCACGGAGCATCGGGGGAGGCACAGAGCATGGGGGGAGGCACAGAGCATGGGGGGAGGCACAGAGCATGGGGGGAGGCACAGAGCATGGGGGGAGGCACAGAGCATGAAGGGAGGAGGCACAGAGCATGGGGGGAGGCACAGAGCATGGGGGGATGCACAGAGCATGGAGAGGAGATGCACAGAACACGGAGGAGGCACAGAGCATGGAGGGGAGATGCACAGAGCACAGGGGGAGGATGCACAGAGCACGGAGGATGTAGCTCAGGATGCACATAGCCTATTCTCTGTTGAGCAAGAACCCAGAGTGGCCTCAATAGTCTATAGTCTTAAAAAAGGTGCACACTTGACCAGCTTCAAGATTATAGAGAAAGGAAAGGAAGAATTTAATGTAGATTAAGTTATATTAATTATTGCTTATATTATTATGTATCTGTACTTCTATTTATCACATATTTTATTAATATTTTAGCAATTCAGGTCTTAACAATGTTGAAATCTTATTTGAATGAACAAGGTATATAAATACCTAATATTAAGGGGAGTGCTGTGTGCAGACATTTGTAGAACAAAGAGACATCATTTGAAGGCTTCTGACCAGGCTTAACTGAAAGCTGGTTTGGACAGATGGCCAAGGAGAACAGTCATCTTACGTATGAGGGAGATGGAAAATCCATCAGGAAAGCTGGGGCTTAGAGAAAACGAACTTTCGATAGACAACTCTCAGCAAACTGGAGGACAGAGTGATTTTAGGGTTAAACAGCAGTAAAATTAATTAGAAGGTTTTGAAATGTGACTCAGAATAGCGATACAAAGCCCTAAAACTACCCACTGCTCCTCATCATCATCCAAGTGTCATCGGTGCTAAGCAGAAATACCACCACCGTCATGCTTGGAGCTCTGGAGAGTTCTTAAGCCCTGTGTTATGTTTTCTCTTGTGGAAAGAGAGTGGAACAGGGGCTTCTGCTTACAGTCCTGACCATGTCCCACTGCTGCTGAGGCACTAAATGATATGCTCCTTTTCGAGTTTTTCTTGTACAGTCTGGAAAAGAAATGTTGACTTATGGATAAGATGCAGTCATACCACTTGTGTATATTATATCTTCTCAAGATATTTCAAAGGCAAGAGAGGGGAAGGGGAAGGGAAAGACAGGAACAGGAGGAAAGCCAGCAAAAGTTCATGCTCAGCGTACAACAGAGTCTCGCAAAATGCAGACAGTGGATGTTATGTGCGCTCACCACACAAATGGTAACTGGGAGGTAATACATTAGTTTATTAGCTAGATTCAACCATCCCCTTCAAAACAACACGGTGTGCCTAACAAAAACATGCAAT